TCCTTTATCATGCCCATCTTTGCGCTAAATGTTCCTTTGATATCTCCAATTTTCTTGAAGAAATCTCTAGTCTTCCCCATTCTATTGTTTTTCTTGATTTCTTTGCATTGTTCATTTAAGGTCTTCTTATCTCTCCTTGCTATTCTCTGGAAATCTGCATTCAGTTGCTTATATCTTTCCCTTTCACCTTTAAGGTCTTCTTATCTCTCCTTGCTATTCTCTGGAAATCTGCATTCAGTTGCTTATATCTTTCCCTTTCACCTTTAAGGTCTTCTTATCTCTCCTTGCTATTCTCTGGAAATCTGCATTCAGTTGCTTATATCTTTCCCTTTCACCTTTAAGGTCTTCTTATCTCTCCTTGCTATTCTCTGGAAATCTGCATTCAGTTGCTTATATCTTTCCCTTTCACCTTTAAGGTCTTCTTATCTCTCCTTGCTATTCTCTGGAAATCTGCATTCAGTTGCTTATATCTTTCCCTTTCACCTTTAAGGTCTTCTTATCTCTCCTTGCTATTCTCTGGAAATCTGCATTCAGTTGCTTATATCTTTCCCTTTCACCTTTAAGGTCTTCTTATCTCTCCTTGCTATTCTCTGGAAATCTGCATTCAGTTGCTTATATCTTTCCCTTTCACCTTTAAGGTCTTCTTATCTCTCCTTGCTATTCTCTGGAAATCTGCATTCAGTTGCTTATATCTTTCCCTTTCACCTTTAAGGTCTTCTTATCTCTCCTTGCTATTCTCTGGAAATCTGCATTCAGTTGCTTATATCTTTCCCTTTCACCTTTAAGGTCTTCTTATCTCTCCTTGCTATTCTCTGGAAATCTGCATTCAGTTGCTTATATCTTTCCCTTTCACCCTACTCTCTGTCATGACCTGTCCGTCTTGGGTGGCCCTGCACGGTATAGCTCATGGCTTCACTGAGTTACGCAAGCCCCTTCGCCACGACAAGGCAGTGATCCATGAAGGGGTCTCCATCCTTTGGGGATCCTCTTTTTCAAGAGTGCTCCTACTCTTGAAATATTTCTTATTCATATAGAAATGATGCCACATTACAAGAAGTGTAAAATAACTTTTTCAATGGATATATTTAACCTATTTGCAGTGTAATAACGAAATTCTATCAGCACATCCTTGCCTTGGCCTTTGCTGTGAAGGAGATCAATGAGGACTCCCAGATCCTGCCTAACATCACTCTCGGGTTCCACATCTATGACAGTTACTACAGTCCAAGGATGACCTATCGCACCACTCTGGACCTGCTCTTCAAATCCAAGGAATTTGTCCCTAACTACAAATGTGACAGCCAGAAAAACCTCATGGCCATCATTGGAGCACTTGCGTCTGATACTTCATCCCATATGGCAGAAAGTATAAATATGTACAAGATTCCACAGGTAGATTTGGCAGGGGGGGTGAGAAAGAAACATTGACTTCTTTTTTAATTAATATTAGAGATTACTTTCATGCCATGGCTTTCAGCAGGACTTCAATTAAGTTCACTTTGCTCTCCCTTACAAGTTTTCCTACAACCCAGTAAGTTTTCTTAAGGTAATCCAATTCAAAGAAATCAAAATCTTTTATTATGATCATAGATCACAAAATTTACATTTAAAACATAAGTTACAGAACAATATGAAACTTATTTCAAGGGTTCACCTGACATTGTGTTTTGACTGCTATCCAGCAATAGGTGGCAAGTCTCCTTTCTATGTCTTAGTTGGGGTCTGATAATAATAGTTTAGTATGAATCTCAATTATTTTACCAGGGAATTGTTGGAGGTGCAATGTGGTCCATTTGAAGATCCCTATAATAATTGCAGCAAAGGAGGACATGCTTGACTGTTTCTATTCCTCCAGAATCTCACGGAGGTAGACTTTTATATATCAGTATTACACTATATCTGCCATAGAGAAGAGCAGAAGGTAATCCAATATGTCTAGCTCTGAAGAATTGCTTCCTTAGGCTGGGAAGAATACAAACGCTCAGAGAGTTAGCAGGTTTCCAGGTATTCATGGTGATGAGCATTCTGGAACTCTATATTAAGAAGCTAATTTTGGTTTGTAATCCAGTTGTATTCCACAGGTGAGAAAATATTTACCTTCAGGTCTTAGTTGCTTGTACTGTTCATCAGAACTGCCATAATGTACCTAGAACTGGAGAAATGTTCAATGTAGAGAGACGTTCATTCAGTTTCTGTCCAGAAGTCATTTTTCCATATTTTTCCCTTGATCCTCATGAATAATGATTCCTTTTTTGTTTGTTTGTTTTTTGGGTAGTTGACCTATGGCTCTTTCTCCCAAGAAGAGTTTCAGACTAAGACATTATCTTCACTCTACGGCATGGTCCCAAATGAGGACCACCAGTACACTGGAGTTATACAACTTCTTCTCCATTTTGGATGGACATGGATTGGAATCTTTGCTTTTGATCAAAATAAGGGAGAAAATTTCTTGCATAAACTGCAGCCCTTGCTTTCCCAGAATGGCATCTGCTTAGCTTTCACACAAAAAATTCCACAACGTGCCCACTTGGATGACTTGTCAGAATTTCTTGATGCAAACTCAATTATCTCTAATAAATTGATAGATCAGAAAGCAAATGTTTTTCTTGTCTATGGAGGATCATTCACAATTGTGTGGCTCAGTATTGTTGTCTTCCTATATGATCCTGAAAATAAAGAGAGTACATCATTCAGAAAGGTTTGGATCCTGATGAACCCGATTGATTTCATACTGACAGGATTTCAAAGGGGTTGGGATCTCCAGATGTTCCACGGGGCTCTTTCCTTTACTGTTCATTCAAGAGAAGTTGAAGGGTTCAAAGAATTTCTTCAAGTCATCAAACCTGCAACTCAGAAAAATGGATTTCTTCAAGAAGTTTGGGAACAATTGTTTGACTGTTCATTTTCAAATGCAAAATCTCTCTTAATGCTCAGTAAAACTTGTAATGGAGAAGAGAATTTGGAGGATCTGCCTGGGCCTCTCTTTGAGTTTCAGATGACTGGCCAAAGCTACAGTATTTACAATGCTGTTTATGTGGTGGCACATTCTTTGCAGGAGATACTGAGATCAAGATCCAAACAAAGAGAAATTCAATGGTTTGAATTTCCAGATCTGCAGCCTTGGCAGGTAATCTCTCCATGCCATACCGATCTTTTGTTTCAGTGAATAGACATACTCATCCACATCTTAATAGGGTTTATTTGCCCTGGCCTATGGCCACATTTCAATATTGATACTGAGGCAACAAAGTGAGTAATGTAAGAGGTCATTTTATGTTATGCAATAAAAGAGCATGAAAATAAACTATGCCTTTGCAAATTTTAGTCTAGACAACTGATTTTTCTATCACTCTTGATTCTGTGAATAACCATTTCATCTCCACATACAATTGGCCTGTCTTGGAAAGTCATCCAGCCCTGTTCAAGTTAGGGTTGGTAGACTGCAGCTTTAGGGTTTGTGTCTGTAATTAGGGTCTATTATTGTCATGAAGTGATGTTGGTTTTTATACTTATAGTAAACTACCAGGAAAATTGCTGAGCTTGTTGCTTTAAGTAGTTGTCATAAATAATTAATAATAGCAAAACTGATTTGCACATCTCAATTATTTATAGTTCTTTCTGGGTGGACATTTTTTGGTTCCAAGTTTCAAGCTGGAGAATTTTCTTTGGAATCCTGGGAAGTAGGAGTAAAAGAAAGGGAAACATTAATAATTTGATTCCTGATTTATTTGTTTGTTTGTTTTTTTAACACCCTTTTTCTTATTCTCCTTCATCTAGTTCCACAAGTTTCTTCAAGGGATTTCTTTTAACAACTCAGCTGGAGAAAAAGTCTTCTTTACTCACAAAAGAGAATGTTCAGGTGGCTTTGACATCCTCAACATGATCACTTTTCTGAACAGATCCTTTCAGAGAGTTGGAGTTGGAAAATTAGATCCCAGTGCTCCAAAAGGGAAAGAATTATACATTGATGAAGATTTGATTGTGTGGCACCCAGCATTTAACCAGGTATGGACTCATTGAAGGGAGTATTTCCTGATCCATTAGAATTCCATGAAGATGTCTTTGTCTGTTAAGCCATACTGAATATAGTCTATTTAGAATTCTAATTTCTGTTTTTGAAACAAAGAAAGGGCATATTCTGTACAAATGTTATGTATTTACTGAATTCACAAAATGACATTACAATATATAAGCAGGATTTTCATATTTGGGTTGAAATTCCATTTGAAATCATGGGAGTCAAATTATTTCCATAATATTGTCATAATGGACATTGATCTACTCACCCTGCCCTTCTTCAAGCAGACCTTTTATAATTCCTTGTAATTTCAAAATCTTTTTAAGGTACAAAATAAATCCAAGTAGATAAAATCCATCAGCTCTTTGGGAAGTCAAGAATTCCTTCCCTCAAGAAAGGAGAAGAATTAGAAACTGTGTTAAAAATTGCACTTTGCAAAACCTTTCTTGTCTATGACCAGGTTCTTCCAATTTCTCTGTGTAATGACTATTGTTCCCCTGGATCCTGGAAGAAAGGGGCTGAAGGAAAAGAATTCTGTTGTTATGACTGTGTTCCATGTCCAGAAGGGAAGATTTCAAATCTAAATGGTAGGTTAGATGTTCCACCAATTTTTCATTCTATACCCTTAAGCAAACTGTAATACACTACTCTAGGATACATGTAATTAGTAGTTTTATTAGTTCTTCAAGATGAATATTCATTTCTATACCTGTGGATCACAATCTATTGTTTAGGAGCCAAAGTCTGCCCATAAGATTCCTGCAGGTAGTGTTTCCTATACAGGCAAAATATATATATGCATTGAGCCATAGATCTTATATGATCGCATGACCTATATCTATTTGTTTATTTGTCATATGTTCAAACTCATTTGCACTTGGTGTTCTTTTCCCTAAGATTTTTCACTTAGTAAACAAAATATCATGAAAGATATTTATATTAAAAAAAGATTGTATATTGATGTCTCCTACCTTATGATGTCATCTGCATAATTTGTCATGAAAACATACTCCTTATAACTTCACTAAACAATGTCTGACCTAATAAATATTTCAGTGGGAGATGACCAGCTGATTACAATTTGTAGAGTAGACAGGGAATTAAAGAAAAAGTGTTGTGGAAAAAGACAAGGTAAAAGTACCTTCTTACTTACTTCTTCTTACCCAGAAAAACCACATGAACATATGATTTGAGTCTATGGGCATTGACTTAACTCAAAAACGTCTTTATCTTTTCTTTTCTTTTTTTTTATTGGCCCAGATTAAAGTATGATATGAGGACCGCTTATCTCCTCTTCTAAAGACAGCATAGAAATAAGAAGAATCAAGTTAAAGTTAAGCCTCTAGTTAAAGTTTAAATCAACAATGAGAGTTTTTACAAATGATAGTGTAACACTCAAAAAGCAACCTTTTGATTGGCTCAGGTTGGTTTAGCTGTGAATGAATACAGACATTTTTTACCACTTTATCTGCCATTTTCTGGGACTTATTTTCTATGAAAACCTGAAAGTAAGGGAAAGCAAAGAAGCTTCAGCAGACAAAGGAAGATTTGTGAAGGGATCAGATATTACAGGGACATAGGGTGGGTGTTTGTAGAACCAACTAATGTTGTCCACATAACACAGAAGCATCAAAAAGGTGAGGATAAAATATAGATATCAGACTGATACGTCTTTCTTATCTTGACAGTAAAATAAGGTATATTTTTTGCTTTTTGAACCCTACCTTTTCTGCTCAGATAAAAGGACTGATCTTTCTGTAGTTTACTCACTCTTTAGGAAGGAGGAAACATAAAAGAGTTTAAATGAATTATATTGGTTTGCACCTCAGAGTCAGTACTTCTGCTTCTGTTACTAAAATCTTACAAACATCATCACAGTTTCCTGCTCCATGTTTTGCAAAGTACAAATTGTCTATACTGTAACTCAGAATGAATAACAGCTGGCACCCACTCAGAAAGTAATTTTAAAAAAATATGGAATGCATAGATGACAAATTCTTTGACTTTTCTTCCAGATATGGATGACTGTTTTGAATGTTCAGAAGAACTTTATCCAAATAAAGAAAAGAAAGGATGTATCCTAAGATCTGTAGTCTTTCTAACTTTTGGAGAAACATTAGGAATTGCTTTGACCTCAACTGATCTTTGTTTCTTCTTCTTGACATCTTGGGTTCTTGGAACTTTTATTAAGCACAGGGATACTCCCATTGTTAAAGCCAACAACCGCACCCTCACCTATACCCTCCTTGTCTCTCTTCTGCTCTGTTTCCTCTCCTGTTTCTTCTTTCTCAGCCAACCTGGCCAAGTGACCTGCCTTCTCCGACAATCCACTTTTGGCATTACCTTCTCAGCGGCCATCTCTACTGTCCTGGCCAAAACCATCACTGTGGAGGTCGCTTTCATGGCCACGAAACCAGGATCTCCAATGAGGAAATGGGTGGGGAAAAGATTGGCCTTTTCTACTGTCCTTTCCTGCTTTCTCTTCCAAGTATGTATTTGTGCTCTTTGGTTGTCAACATCTCCCCCATTCCCTGAGTTAGACATGCATTCAGAAGCCAAAGAAATGATTCTCCAATGCAATGAGGGGTCAGCCACCTTCTTGTACTGTGTCTTGGGCTACATGGGGATCTTGGCCATTGCCAGCTTTACTGTGGCCTTTCTTGCCCGTAAATTACCTGCCAGCTTTAATGAAGCCAAGTTCATTACCTTCAGCATGCTGGCCTTCTGCAGTGTGTGGGTCTCCTTTTTTCCAGCCTATCTGAGCACGAAAGGAAAAGCCATGGTAGCCGTGGAGGTCTTCTCCATCTTGTCCTCCAGCGCTGCATTACTGGGATGCATCTTTTTGCCAACATGCTACATCATTGTTTTCAGGCCTGAGCTCAACCACAGGGAGCAACTAATAAAGAGGAATTCATACAACATGTGATCTTTCTCACCATGAGAAATTGATGACAAAAAAGAATGGAAAATCTGTTTGCTGTTTATAGGAACCCTAAGGAAGTTGTTATTTCTGTTAAAGGAGGATTTATGGCGGATGATGCCGCTGCTGCTGCTGCTGCTGCTGCTGATGATGATGATGATGATTAAGATTTATTAAGGTTGCACTTTACAAAAAAGGTGCTCATACTGCTGCATTCTTAACCTTTTTTCAGGATTTTTGACCTAATCTTTTTTCCCTTTCAACACACAAAGCTAACAAGACTCGGAGAATCTAGCTTTCTTGGTTACTGTTAGGAGATTTGATATATTGACTCAAAGGATGTACAATGTTTGCATCTGCCACTTTCATGGTTTTTAGACTTTCAATTCATAAACAACTGCACAAATATTGTAAAAAGCTAATTGACATTTTGTGAACATGTATTTAAGATTATCATAAGGTATCAATTTTGGATTGGTTAGGGTTCTTTGAAATATAACATTTGCAGAGTTTCTGAAACCTCTACATATAACTGTATTGAAAAAACAAGGTTTTATGCTAGGTCGTAACCACTCACTCGCTATCCGTCATTCTATTTCCACTGTAACCTACTATCAGATTTTAATAATATTGAAAATTTAGTGAAATGAAATGAAATGAAATGAAATGTATTCTTTCTTTTGCCTCATTCTTTCTTAGAAGGGTATGATAGCCAATTACCATTAATAAAGATTTATTTGATTTGGATTGATATTAGAAGTGTGGGATTTGATGTGAGAACCAAAGGTGAAATTTGGCCCAAATACGAGAAAAAAAATATACACCTCTCTCTTTTACAGGGAAGGAGCTCCAAGATGAAAATACTCAGAGAATAAACTGTGAGTGTTCCACTGGGTGTGTATGTATGTATGTGTACGTGTATACACACACACACACACACATATACATACATACATACAAGCAGACTTAAGTTTAGGTTTATTTGAGTGGATTTGGCACAGAATTTTTCCATGGAATAATGGAAAAACATGATCTAAATAGTTATAGGGTTCTGTTTGTTGCTCTTCAGTAGAACCCTGAAAGCTCAAAAGAACTGAAGGAGCTTAAGATTGTTGTGATGACGAAGTGAAGAAAGGTTTAGTAGGAAAATGGGCTGCCATCCCTATGCCAGCCAGTGAGCATGTGCACCCAGAGGTGCAAGATGAAGGGAAAGGAGATACTCACACAAATGCATTATTTCACTTCCTTGAAGAAAGGAAAATGCAGACTCTTCTTGTGGACCCTGCTGTTAAAGAGACTGTTATGTCACACCAATGCAAGATCAGCTCCATGCCTAGAATCATTTGTTGTTTTAGGCTTCAAGAATCAGAATGACCTGAACCAAAAAGTAGATACTGCATTGGGTAAATCTTTCTTTCTCTCTTTTTCTTCTTTTAAGCTGAGTCTGTCTTCCTTTAAGCTCACCTCTCTCTGTAATCATTGCTGTAGGCAAAAGTGGATACATTTTTATGTAAATGCTTATGTTTCTTTGGATAAGTATGACCTTTTAAGGGGACATATAACAAAACGTGAAACCTGAATAGAATCTAATTAAAATCCAATGAATTGCATTTAGGCCCTGATATATTACGACTAGTATTAAACTATGATAAGCAAAATACTTTCACAGATGAGGAAAAAAAGTTAGTTGTTGGACCTATTCATCTTGTTCTTGTCACTGGAAAGTGTTTAAAATAGATTTATCTATCATGCTCAACCTGTGTGGGAAAATCTCTAGGTAAGGCTCAGTTTGTTTGTTTGTTTGTTTGTTTGTTTGTTTGTTTGTTTGTTTGTTTGTTTGTTTGTTTGTTTGTTTGTTTGTTTGTTTGTTTGTTTGTTTGTTTGTTTGTTTGTTTGTTTGTTTGTTTGTTTGTTTGTTTGTTTGTTTGTTTGTTTGTTTGTTTGTTTGTTTGTTTGTTTGTTTGTTTGTTTGTTTGTTTATGCCAATGAACAGTGGATCAGGGAGATCCAGGTTTAAATTCATGGTCAATTGTGGGAGCTCTATGCATAACTTTGGGGAGGACACTAGCTCATAATTCAACCTAAGTCAAAGAGTAGTTTCTGTGGGTGGAAAATGAAGGCAGGATTATTATAAATGCCTGATTTATCATCTGCAAATGCATGAGATAGAAACCTGGCAATTTCCATTAGAAATTGTATTAGAAATTATATATAGGTTTTTAAAACAACAGATAAATGTGCAGCAACAAGCCTTAAAACTGATAAATTAAAGTGGTGGATAGATGTTGCCTTTTAGGATTGACTATCAACAACAAAGAATCAACACTGAAGCAATATGAAGCAGATTATCATTTGATAGGATAGCAATGAAAGTTTCAGAGAAGATATTCAAATGCAATCAAATGACAATACCTACAAAGATTAGAACTCTGCTTGATTCAACAATAATCCATTAAATCAATGAACTATTATCAACCCAAGGAACTCATGATTCATTCAACTCCCAATATTAGATTTTGCCCAACCTGGGTGAAGCATGCTAAGATACACAACAATTCCTTCTAGGGGAACCTGTCACTATCCAGAGTAACTGCCAGGACCAATGTCATGATTTACCACAACTAAGTCTTAGAAGGATCTCATTTTACCTTATTTTGGCCCTCCCCATATTTTTTGCTCTAAGACACAATGATTTGTTAAGGTATGCCAATGAATGTAATAAATTAATAACTACGTGTACATCAAGAAACAAAATAAAATCCCTCTTGAATAAGGACTCCTCATAGTGCATGATTTGATAGTGTGAGTGTTGATCTCTTTCTGCTCTTAAGAACTGAATCTTTGAATGGGACTCAGTTAGATAGATTGGACTATTAAAGAGAGAGAGTGATATCTTAAATTCTGTTTCCTGAAAACAACAATAGTTGGGCAGGAACTGAAAATTAGAAAAAAAAAATCTGTCTTTTTCTATGTTTGTTTGTATATATGTATTTGTGTGCAAGTTTGTGTTAGGAGAAATACCTCTTCCAAATTCAGGGTGATTTTTGTTTTGCTTTCAGGAATCAGTATGACCTTTTGACCCTAGTCAAGATGATGGCTCCAAATGAGGTTCCAAAGTTGCTTTTTTTTCTTGGGAATCATGGGACCCTGGGTTTCTTAAACATACCAGGGAGTTTGCAATGTAGTCAAAAGCAAAGAAAACATGTTTTTTAAAAAACAAAAAAAGAAAAGTAATTCAGGATGATTGAAACTCAAAGAAGTAATTATCTCCTCCAGCAATTACCCAAATGACTATAATTGTCTGATGTCAACCAAGAGCTAATGATTATATGTATGGTTATTAGTTTCACTAATTTTTGAAGGAGAATATTCATACTCTATTGACATAGATCAAAATCTGCTGTCCATAAATCAAGTTTTTTTGAGAATGCTGCAGCTATTGTACCCTGTACAGGAGGTGTATACAGAGAGAGAGTGAGAAAGACACACAGACAGAGTCAGAGACAGAGAGTGTGAGAAAGATCACTTACAATATCTTTTGCTTGGTGTTTTTGTCCCTATGATTTCAGGTGTCTGTACAACAATCCAGGACCTAGAATGAGGAAATAGGTGGGAAAAAGGCTTGCCCTTTCCATTGTCCCTTCCTCTCTTCTTCTTTAAAAAGCCTTTGTATATTGTGGCTGTCAATCTATCCTCCACTTCCTTAAGTAGAGGTGTACTCAGTAAATGAGGAAGTATTTTACAGTGCAATGAGGGGTTGTCCTTCTTCTTCTGTATCCTGGGCTACATGGGCCTCTTGGCCATTGCCAGCTTTGTTGTGGCTTTCCTTGTGTGTTAATTACCTGACAGCTTTAATGAAGCCAAGTTCATCACCTTTAGCATGTTGGCCTTTTGCAGTATATAGATGCCCTTTGTGCCAACCTTTCTCAGTTCAAGAGGAAAAGCCATGGTGGCTGTGGAGATATTCTCCATCCTATGCCTTACTTGGATGCATCTTTCTGCCAAAGTGCTACAGCATCGTGTTCAGGCCTCGGATAAGCAAGGAGAAAATCATTGTAAAAAAATTAATAATAAGCAAGGATAGCCAAACCATTAGTTCATGTTACAATATTTTGAATTACATATACAGGTGAAACTTGAAAAATTAGAATATCGTGCAAATGTTCATTTATGTCAGTAAGGCAACTCAAAAGGTGAAACCAATATATGAGATAGACGCATTACATGCAAAGCGAGATATGTCAAGCCTTACTTTGGTATAATTGGGATGATTATGGCGTACTTACTTTGGTATAATTGGGATGATTATGGCGTACTTACTTTGGTATAATTGGGATGATTATGGCGTACTTACTTTGGTATAATTGGGATGATTATGGCGTACTTACTTTGGTATAATTGGGATGATTATGGCGTACTTACTTTGGTATAATTGGGATGATTATGGCGTACTTACTTTGGTATAATTGGGATGATTATGGCGTACTTACTTTGGTATAATTGGGATGATTATGGCGTACTTACTTTGGTATAATTGGGATGATTATGGCGTACTTACTTTGGTATAATTGGGATGATTATGGCGTACTTACTTTGGTATAATTGGGATGATTATGGCGTACTTACTTTGGTATAATTGGGATGATTATGGCGTACTTACTTTGGTATAATTGGGATGATTATGGCGTACTTACTTTGGTATAATTGGGATGATTATGGCGTAAATTATACCAAAGTAAGGCTTGACATATCTCGCTTTGCATGTAATGCGTCTATCTCATATATTGGTTTCACCTTTTGAGTTGCCTTACTGACATAAATGAACATTTGCACGATATTCTAATTTTTCGAGTTTCACCTGTACACTTAAGTGAAAAGATGTAGCCACTCCTGTTCAGACTATAGGTTTCAGTGAACCCTTGAATCAAAAGAAAGAAAGTAAAAACCTCTACTTGAGATGTAGTTAAGGATGATATCTTTCATCAAATGTGATTGAATTTTTACTA